TGCGCGCGAAACTCGGAATCCATGCTATGCGTGATATTTCACTCCAGCATCAGACTGCGATTCAAAACTCAACATATGTGATGTCTTCAAAAGGTCCGGTTTCCTAGATGAATCGTAGAGACGCTCTCACGCCAAGCGTCACCGTGAACTTGACAGCGAGTTCGAATCGTGCACAGCGTAAGGATCGAGGATGTCATAAACTGCAAAAACAGGTACATGAGGACTGCGTCCCATCCTCATTTTTCAGCTTGCACTCTGGAGCTTCGCTGGCCCACGCCAGAGAACAAGCCCCTGGGCCACGTTTGCTGCGCTTGCTGGTGTCCACGAAATTCCTGCTTTTCTTGGTGTCCCTTTTGGTATTTCGCGGGTCACACACACACACACAACACCGACCGGCCTTGGGCACTGGGAGACGCAGACCGGGTCGTCCAGGTTCACGGAGTGCTCCTCTGATGCCGCTCAGAGCAGGCCGAGGGAAGTGGAGGGAGGTGGAGAGCTGAGGCCCGGTCTCCCGAGGATGTCACCTGACAAGTTCGAGCTCCCAGCTGCTCCCTCAATCTTCCTCAGCCTCTGAGGATGCAGCCACAGGACAGAAGAAAAGCAGCGGCCTGGCCCATCCCCGTCGCAGACTTCAAAACTGAATGCTTGAAATCTTGCACAGTGCTCCTTTCGATAACGTCGGGATCCACGCCACACTGGCGCCTAGCACTCATGGAAAATCTGCAAGACGTCGGGATGGCAACCAGCCGCTGGGTCTCCGGCCCCCTGCCATCAAACCCGTGATTTAGCTTCCTTGCATTCCCATACATGGCCCCGTAGACCAGCATGGCGACCAAGGCAATCAGTGCCAGCACAAAGAGCAAGCAACACGGGATGTCTGTACCTGGAACCGGACATTGGATTCCTGAGAAGACTCCAAGGAAAGCAAGTCGCTGCTGGCGGCGGACATCTGCGCTTGCGAAAAAGATCTTCGAGATCTTCCTGTTCACGACTGGGTCTCAGGACGAAGGGAAGAAACTGAACTTCTTCGTCTGTTCTGAAGCCTCACTCTCAACGGCGGACTCGTCGTCTGACATGGCTTGAGACTTAGATGAAAAGCGACCCCCACACCTACAAGCTCCGTGGGTTCCATCATGAGGACGCATTGCTTGCAAGATGCAATACTCTGCCCTGCCGCATAACTGGACTCGACTTGCAATTCTGCAGCACTTCCCGTTCGTTCACCATGTCACAGCAGCGAACTCTAGAGCTGTCCCTTGCGGTCTCTAGCTTCTTTTTTGCCGCGTTTCACGCATTCGCAGCCTTGTCGGCATCAATATCCAAGATGCGCTGCATCAGTTGATGTGAGGACACGTAGAGCTGCAGGTTCAGGCGCTGGGAACTCCCGTCTGCGAACTGCACCTCGACGCACTCTCTCGCTTCAGCCTCGCTGACTGACAGCTCCTTCCTCTCTGCTTCTGGCTCTGGGGCCTGCGGCTCCGGTGACTCTGCAGAGACCTCCTGCGAGGTGTCTTCGGCCGCCTCGGCCGCCTCGGCCGCCGAGTCCTCGTCCGGCTGACGGCGCAGCTTCAGCCGCTCGAAGTCGAATCCCAGGTCTGGGCTCGCAAAGCGGAGCATCGGCAGAAAGCGGCCCATCCAGTCCGTGGCCACCTTGTTCTCCTGGAAACACACGACCCGGATTTTTGCCAAGCTCCTAGGCACCAGCGGCGTGGAAAGCATCAGCCGCTCCACTCGCCGAGCCATCGCGGCAGCAAGATACAAGAAGCAACTGTAAAACATGCTCGAACACACGGTCAACACCGCTTGCCTTGCTGCTCAGCGGTGCTTCGGGTGTGTCTTGCATGGTGATTTGGATGGCAGGTTCGATGCATCTAGCAAGTCTATAGACAGCTTGCCTGAGCCTGCCATAAGACGGAACATTCGGCTGCAGCAATGGCTTACAACAAATAAAAGCACACGGCTTTGGTCGTAAACGTTTCTGATGGGCGAAGTATTGCCACGTGCATGGAAACAGATGCTTAAAGCACGAGCACAGCAGACACCTCCAGCCACCTGCGTTCCCAGACACATGTTTGCCGCCGATCCATGCTGCGGATGCTGGGGTCAAACTGTGGAACCAAAAACCCAGGGTCGTCAAGCCATTCGCCGGGATGGCTTCTCGAGTATGCTGTACAAGCATCCTCGATGTGAGGGCGAGCAGTGATCGTAAGCCCTTGGACTTGGAATGCCTTCCTTCCGCTGCTTACTCTGCTTTTTGCATTCTTCGCCCTCTCAACCTGCTGGCACAAGTTTGGAATGGTTCGATGGGCCCTCACAGTTCAAGGTCTGCGCCTGTCGCCGAAATCGCCCTGCCGCCCGCCACGCTTCTGAACGAAGAAGTTTTATTTCCGGCACGCGTGCTTTGTTTTCCAGGCGCTGCTTGGTCTCAAGGGGGGCAAGCACTCAGTTTCACAAACAGAAGCAAAAACAGACGAAGAAACCAAGACGTGACTCGGATTTCGCACTCACTGCTATGTTCCTAAGCAGGGGCTTCACCTTGGACATGTGCAAGACCTTCGACCCTGATTGCTTTTGCCAGCTCCTGGTTGGCTGAACGGTTGCCCAGGAGATCTTGCGAGGCGCGGCCGTCAGATTGGACCGCAGCCTAAAAGGCTGCTCAAGCAGCCGGTGAAACCACCGGCAGGTTAAGCACCACATTGCAGCCTGACCTGTGCAAAGCTATTTCTGCTTCTACACCATGCCCCTGCCATGTAGCTGCTCAAGATGACAGACGCCAACGCATTTTCCATGGTTGATTCTGCCAAGTGGCTCGTGCGTCTCATTTGAGAAGCACGCCACCTAAGGCACAACAGCAACCCGTGGCGCAGATTGGCAGGGTCGCAGAGGCCCATGGTCAACGACGCTGTCTGCCCTTTCGGTGCAAAGCCAAGTGGCCACCTCGCCCACCTCCACAGCACGCGCCTCGGAGAACATCTGTGCATCCCCCCTTCTCCAGGATCAAGAAACGCTTCGCTTTGCGCAGTTAGCAGCTGCTTTCTGTGTGCCAGGCCTCTGATACGATTCTCCCATAGTCTCCCATTGCAACTTTAGCCCCACCACATCCCACGCAGGCACACGCAGGCTCAGAGCTGAAGGCTCCAACGGGCTGAGGCCGGCTGAGGCTGTGGCGGATCCGGTCTGCGAGTTGCAAACCATCGCTTCAAAGCTCCCTTGCACACACGAGTCGCACGAGCTCAAGAGCAAAATCCCATGGCAAGGCCGCACTGAATTCCGCTGCCTGCATCCTTGGAGCTGTTGGAGATGGCGGCAAAATCCAATCTCCGGTGATGACGTCCTCGCTCTGTCCCACCCCAACCCCTCATGGGGCAGAGATTGCCGATCGGCGTTGATTGCCGCTAGCACATGCAGATTTCTCACTCGATCTCATACACCGCATGCCTGTTCAGTTTGCCACCGCTTTCAGAAGTACTTGCCTCGTCTAGTCGAGTCTAGCCGCTAGAGACGTGCAGAAATTCGGGTAGGATTCTTGTATGCTTCACGTTGCAAGGCCTCGGGCGTGCTGCACGAGATTGGCCGCACCTTTGACAATGACGTAGGCCTCAATTCTTGGAACGGAGTCGAATCATCGAGACGAGTCAGACAGCACCCCTTTGCTGCGCACAACACCAAAAAAGACGTGGCTTCAGAACAGTTCTCCTCAAGGCTTCAGCGCCCTAATCCTTGTTGGGCATACACAGGCATGCCCAGGCGTAGTGTTCTATCAGCGCTTGGCCACCAAGACATCGTTTATCCTCCTTCCCAAGCATGCGACGAACAACCGGATCCACTTGTCGCAACCAGCAACTGTTTCAGGAGCGCTCTTGCAGGATGTGTGAAAAGGACAGGATGGTGATCTTGTCTCGTGAGCTGTCAAAGCCCAAGCTTCCAGGAGGCAGTAGGAAGGGCCCAACAAGCAAGTGCCAAGTCCACTAAACATAGCAGAGACACGGTCGTGTCCGAAGGAATGGCAGCCCACAGCATCCAGCCCTCCTCCAAACAGGCATGTGAGTCTCAGTTAAATATTCTTGCTGCAGTGAAGGGACTGAAGGCTACACTTGAGTGATACATCTCAGAACCGATGCTACCCTGTTCGTCGCAACTGCAGCACATGCCGTTACATACCGGTGTCCTGTCCAGCCAGAGTGCAGTTTTCCGGTACAGGTGCTGCTAAAGCCAGTACTTCATCCATTTGCTGGGCAAACAAAGCACCCAACGCAGTATGACGCACGCTGCTTTCTCCAGCCATCTCCTCAGCACCAAGCAGCAGTCAGATGTTCACAAAAAACAAGGGTCGAAAAAGCGACTCCAAGTCGGGCTGGGCGCTTGAAGTTCAGCATCGAGACGCCGCCAGGCTGAGTGCATGAGCCGTGCATCCTCCTCACTGCGAGACAAGCCGTGCATGTCGTGTCGATGGCGCAGATGACGTGCCAGTTTGAAGGCCGCCTTGTCAAGAGTGCGACTCAAAATGTCTGAAAGGGGCGAATATGGTCAGAGCGTGTCAAACCGCAAAGCTTCGGCAAACGAAGTAGCCTGGGCTTTTGGCAGCACTGGCGGCATCCACTCTGTCAGCTGTGTCAACATGCTCAGGTGCAGGATGTGGAAGAGCTCAGGCATCTGGAGCAGCGAAGATGCTGTAGAGACCTGCGTTATCCCGCGCTTCCGTGCCGTCCGAGAAATAGTGGCATGGAGCTGCTGGAGCACGAGCTTGGATTGATGCGCAGGCTGCACTGGGTTGTCAGGCACCTCTGGTAGCATGGGATCGGCCTAGCTCTCTCCAAGCCTACTCAAAAAGGCACCGGCCCGCGGCCGGGACCACAGGGCACAGGGGGGGACCCTAAAACCCACGCAGTCGGCCGAAGTTTGAAGGCTCCCTGCATCTCGCCTTTTTCCCGGGCCTCGAGCTCCCATCCTCTCCGGGAGGAGCATCCCATAGCCATCATAAACCATATCGCAAAGTGCATTCACAACATTTAGGGCTGACAGAGCCACGGAGAGACCAGGAAGCCACCAGCCGACAAACCAAAGCCAAGCCCGACAAACCGAAGCCCAAGAACCAGAGATGCCAGAGGTATAAGTGCGACATAAGCTTTTGTTGGTGGGTATCCGGGCATCTTTCTGTAGACTCTAGGACTCTAGGACTCTAGGACCTAGGTCCAGGTTCTCTAGATCAGAGCCTGGGGGAGACACGGAGAGAGAACTGGTCCAAGAGAGACGTACTTCCCGAGATTCAAATTTGGGGCACCCCGTCCAAGTTCTCCACGGACTCCGCCACGACCCGAAGGCTTGGCTTGGCTGCGTCGGCGGCGGCCGCTGCTGCCGCTTGCAGCGCCGAGCGGACCTGAAAAACGAGACGGTGCTGGTGTGCTGGCAAGCAGGGAAGACGTGAAGAATCCCCAATTCCTAAACGGTGCGATGCCAAGGGGATCCAAGTGGCCAGGCCACCGTCCACCAGCACCTCCGCTAGGAGCCCCACCTGCTGGCAGACCTCCCGCCTCAGCTGCGCACTGCAGCGCGCTGCAGCGCACTTCTCGGCTTCTTACAAAGACAGTTTCAAAGACATGGCAGCAAAACCAGAAAACGGCGAAAGAACGACTCTCGCTGCACTGCCGAGCATCAACGCTCGGCCTGCTGCTCTCGCCGCTCGCTGGCCCACATGCATGGCACGCTTTGCTGCAACCTGCACCTGCAAGAAATCCTGAGAGCCACGGCACTCAGGCTCCAATGCTGTTGGCTTGCCCGTTGGCTGCGCGTTCTAGAAACCAAGATCTTGGCATGAGCATCTAGCCTGTGCCAAGGAGCAACACTGCACTTGGACAAGTAGTCTTCAGTCAGCTCCGTTGCAGTGCTGACATGGTCCACTTGCCTGAGGGCAAGGACAAGACAGGACTTGCCCCCTGCAAGACAAAGAGGGAAGATGCCGTGCACGTGCCATGCGCCCCTAGGAACAAGGCTCTTTTTTCATCGGCCGGGTGGCTCCTGCGCCGCTTCCATGTACTCCTCCGCGGCCTGGCGGATCTTCAGGAGGATCCTGGGCAGAGGCAAAGCTTGGCGGAGCTCATTGCGGGCCCGCAGACCATGTACTCGTCATGCGCACTGTTTTTCTCCCAGGCGTGGCATTTGACGAACACAAGGCCACCGACGATCTGACAGTGGATGATCAGAGACTGACAATGCAGAACCCGAGCGCGAGTTCCGCTGCAACCCAGACACCCGTTCCGCGCATGTCGCGCGATCGCGCGACCTTGAGGAGGCGATCTTCTGGAGGGCAACATGGCCGGAGAACGGACACGGAAAGGAGCCGAAAAAGGAAAGGATACGAGACGATACAGTTTCAAGTTGCCGCGGAGGGCGCATTTCTGCACGCGCGGCGGCGGCCTCCCGAACCGGAGCGGAGCTTTTGGCCCAGCGCTTTGCCCAACGGTTCAAAGAGACGCCAACAGTCGGATGCCGTGGCGAGATTCGAAGCACAGAAGAAGCATTTGAGGCGCCGTGAGGAACGCGTGGCAGGCCTTCATTGCAGAAATAACTCGCGGAAAAGGCAAGTATGCTGCATGCCAACATCGACTCCAACATCGGATGGGAGCAGCAACCGATGAAATCAACGAGTCAAAAACCAAGAGCTGCTGCAAATAGCTTTGTATTGGACTATTCGTTGAACGGGCAGGAAGCCAGCAGAGCTCTAGAGAAACTTCCCGTGGACGACGTGTTGCCACCTTTTGAGCAAAATGAGGAGATGGAACATGATGGGACTCACGACAGGCACCTCGGCAGTTGGGACCTGTCCATGCTTCCAGAAAAAGGCCTGAACAGTGCGAGAAATTGCGAGAGGCCATGTCAAAAATGGCGGTGGCCTAGTAAAGTATCCCAGCACACCACTGCACTCAACCACGCGTGACCTGCTGTCGTGCTAGCTAAGGGTCTTGTCGAACTCCACAACCTGGGATTCCATGTGGAACTGGTCAAGCCTGGCGGCCTTGCATGGAGGAGCTTCCCTGCGCGATGTACCAAGTGTCACAAATATCCAGCCTCAGACTCGCCTCTCAAGAACGCGATGTGGCGACTCATGTGTTGAGCAGAATGGCGGTGACTTCGGATCCTAAGCAAACTCATGGTGGCCGACACCAACTTTGTGATAACGTCCGCATCGCCAAGGCACGACGTCTGCGCCGCCTTAAGAAGCTTCTTCATCTCCAAGTCAATGAGAGCAGGCTCGGAATCGGGCAGGTTCGCCTGAAAGCCAACAAATGCTCATGCGCTCGCGCGCTCCACATCCCGAAAGTCCCGAACCCTCGCGGACCATCCCGGGCCTTCCAGCCCAGCAACGATCTGGCAATGGCCGCTGTGTCACGGTGAAGCGCCGCACCCTCCCGGAGCCTCTCGGACCTAAGCAAGCTCGAGACAGCTACTGAGTCCCGCTAGTTCTACCTCAGCTACTAAACACTGCACTCTCTTGTGCATTGCAAGCGTCCGCACTGTGACGTTGGACGACGCTTCCCTTCCAGCTTGCCGAGAACGAGCCTGCTGAAAAGAAAAGGTGCGTGATGGTGCGTGACATGCATTCGTATATGATCCCCCCAATGACATCTCCCCCCCCACCCCCCGTCCTTGCCCACACGACGACAATCATGCAAATTACGACTACGTGCCAGCTTCTGCCATCTTGGAGATGCGAAGTTGCCATGCATGTTGATAACTTGCGAGAATAACGAGAAACGTGCTCCGAACACGAAGACTGTCACGAGGGGCTTGCTGCAGACACGATTAACGACAGGGGAAGCCCACCGGAGCGAAGGCCAGGCGGCCAGGCCACAGAACCATCGGGGAAGAAACAGCAAACCACGACCTGTGCCTTGCGGTAGACTCGTCGTAGACAATACTGAAAACTCACAAACAGCCGCAACCGTCCCTCTGGAGGCTGCTAGCTGCTCAACCAATGCAATTACACGGCCAAGACTACGGCTTCTGCTTGGCGGCATTCTGGAGCAAACACCACAAGTCGACTTAAGCTTGGAGAGGGGGCCGATGTTCCTGTCACAAGCAACCGTGGATCGGATCCAAGCCCACCAGGGAGGGGGCGGGGCCGCGGCTCAGGCCCTGGATCATATTAGCACCTGTTGTAGTGCACTGAGCCGACGCTATCACAAGGGCACGAGCCCAAAAGCAAGCTGCATTTCTGAGAGACTATGACCCGCACTTCACCCACAACGTGACATGCATCCAAGTGCACATACGGCGCTCTTGCGGCCTAGTTTTGCAACCAAGATGCATGTGTAAGCTGGTTGCGAAGGGCAAGCAGGGCCTGCTCAACTTGCTCCTGACACATCAGAAAGAGTGTGGAGTGTGCTGGTCTGCCGAGAAAATTAACAACTGACAACACTCATCCTCCACCTAAGCCTGTTAATAAAGAGGGCAGTTGGCTCCTGGCCACAAGGTTCTGGAGAGCAAGCTCTATGCATGTGTTCGTTCCAATTGCAGCTTCATGTTTCTCATCCGAGCACGCAGAAGGCTGCAGTTGGTCGACGAAACTGAACCCCAAACCTCAAATCGTGAGCCCCGAGAAGCACTAGACACACTAGAAGGTACGCCGCAAGTCTAAACACGTGAAGCTATGCCCCCGGGCCCGAGCCCTTGCCGCGAAACCATACACTTCGGACGTTACCTCGTCCTTTCTGGGACTGATGGCAGGCCCGTCATCTCGAGACTATTTGCTTCAACTGCAGTCAAAGCGGTTAGTTTGCCCACTAGTAGTTTGCTCCATTTCTGGCCGATGCCACACGTGCGGTGCTCACTCAAATGCACAAGTTGAAGCTCAAACATGACGATATGCACTGCGTGCCGCGTTGCTACACATCCCCTAAAACCGTTTTCAAAGAAGAGAGCGATCTTGCTAAGGCCTCAAACCCTTTACCCACATACAACCATGGAGCCGGACACATCATGGAAACGCAACAAGGTGTGCAGATACCGCTGGGCATGTCCACTTGTCCTTTACATCCTCTCCAGAAAGCTAGCAACCTCCCCACACCAGTTCTTGCTTTTCCTGTGGGCCCAGTCTTTCCGCAATACATGTCTACCAGAACACGTAGATTCACGACAGTACCTGTTCCAATGATGTCCAAACCTAGCAGACCTAGCATCCCCTGTCCCGCCGCAAACATGCTGACACATGCTGACACCTGAAAAACTCCAGCCAAATCAACGGATATGCGGTGCAACTGCAGTGTCCAGCTTGGCAGAACCGAGGCGGTACATGGCCCCGTCCACATTCCAGGCTGATATCCTCAGATGCGAGACGCCAAGGCAAGCCACAGACGACGCTATTGGCCATTGCTGGGAAGACTCTCTTCCAAAGCTTGCTTGGCAGCCGTGTGGGTCTGTCTCAACTGTGTGAGGGCAGCACCCTCCTTAGTTTTGTGTCGAGTCCGACACAACGGAAGGCTCTAAAGTTGCTCTACGCACTCTAATCACGTCCGTCCAGTGTCTTCCGATGCCAGGGCTTCGGTGAACTCGCTGAAAGCGTCATGGAAGCCTTGTGCCGTTGACTCCTTCCTTAGCATCAGTGCCGATCAACGCCGGCCTTGCGACCAAGTTCGCCGCCACTATCTGCCGGCAGACTTCAAACTCTTGCATGCACTCGCATTACGCAAATTGCAACAGCTTCCTCGTCGCACAGGCAAAGCTCGCTGCCGGTCAAGATAAAAGGTTGACCAAACATGAGCGAAGTTGTTTCACTGTTCAATGAGGCGGGTGAGCGAGCCACTTCTGGTTCAGTCCAGCGTCAAGTTGTCAATGGCATCAGAAGTCGCAGCCAGATGTGCATCCTCAGATGAATTCCAACAAAATGCCCAGCCCACGTCACCACATGCACGAGCCCTGTTAGTGTGCATGTCAACATTTGCCTGTGTGGAAAGAGAGAAGACTGCCAACAAGGCTCCATCTTCGCAGCGATGACTTTGTGCTCCTGCAGAGACGAGCGTTATAAGGTTTTGCGGCCAAGGGCCAATGGCCCGTCCGACCCGTGACCCGTCCTCGTGGGTGAGGTCGAAGATCTGCTTGGCAGCTATGCCCAGGTTCTTGTTCAAGGCGCTGTGCTGGGAGTTCATGGCTTGGATGATCTGCTTTCCGTTGGAGTTCACGGCGTTCAGGTCGGCTTGGGCGTAGGTGTCCATGACGTTCTTCAGCTGTGAACTCTCGTGGCTTTGCTTGTCTTCCATGTGGGTTAAGCGGGTAAAAATCTCTGAGACGTAGTGCTGGAAGAACTCCCTCATCTCCGAAAGGATGTTTCGGTTCAAGGTACCAATGGAGCTCAGGATTCTCTGGTCACCTCGCTTCACGGCGTCCTCCACGCAGGAGAGGTCGCAGTAAACCTTCGCCATTGTGTTCTGCAAAGGATTGCAGTCTTGGAAGTCGCTTTCGTCATACCTCAGCGCCCTGTAGTACTGCGTCTGGGCAATGGCGAACAGGGATCCTGCAGAGACTGCACCGGCGACGGCAGCACACATGTCCCCGGTGTCCATGTCTGTTCCTGCATAAGCCGCAATGGCACCAGATAGCATCACCGTCCCAGGAATGTTCATGCAGGACTTTGTCACGACTGGTTCAGAGAAGTCCTGAGGGCATCCCGGCGTGCCCCAACTGATCTGCAGTCCAAACGCGCAATAAAACCCTAACTGGGCCCGGCCTCGATGGTGCTAGCTGCAAAGTCCGCTTCGCGGTCCTGCAAAGGCAACACTCGTGGGAGGCGGGAGGCCGAGACATCCGAGACCGTCATGCGCGGTGATTTCTTTTTACTGCGGGCCGCATCACTTCTTCTCACCTCTGAAGCCCCTCAGCCCCAGCCCCTCGGGTCCCACATGGCCAGCTTGTATCCACGATTGATGTCGCGCGTGGAGCAGTCCCAGACCGCATCGGCCGTGAGGCCAGGGAAAGTCGGATTGGCGGCAAAGTACGGCTCTTGCCAATCCGTATTCTTCTTCCCTGGCGTGCCCTCTTCTCCCCAGGTCTCCACAGCCGCTGCTCCACTGGAGTCTGCCCCCAAAGCGTGGTAGCAAGCACCCACCACATCCTTTTGCCTCTCCTTGGCAGCAGGATTCACTCGCACTGTGACTGCGCCCTACTGTACGGCCCTAGACCAGAGGCCTTTGCGACTCCATGGCTTGATGCTCCTGTCTTCGGCATGTGACCTCGACGCTGAGGTAGTGGTCACCCTCGACGGGCTCAGAGCCCGTGATCTTCTCGCGGCTCTCTCGGGCCAGGCAGTGCGGAGCATACCTCAGACGGCCGCACGCACATCCTTCCGGCCCAAGACCGTGGCCTAACCGCTCGAGTCCAAAAGGCACGACGGGCTCCGGATTCCAGTTCAGCACCTCAGTTCAGGCGTCCGCATCCACGCGCATGGCGTCACAACCATCTCACTTTTGTCCTTGCCAATGCCTCGCAACTTGCATAATCAAAACATGCCTGCCAACGCAAACCCGTTCTCCCAACTCTTCTGCGAAGCTAATGAAAGGCTGCTCTGTTTGGAGCAACATTGACTTCACCGAAACGACATTGTGCTGCCCATGCAGCACCACCAAAGACCCTTTTGGACAAGGCTTGGCTGGACATTTCATTAGGGAGTGTCGCAGCTGTATGTTGGGCAGCTCGATTGGAGCCAAGCAGCGGCTTCCGTTACCCCACGCTGTTGAAGCTCCTGGCGTTCCCCTTCGAAAGGCTTGAACTCCGCCATCTCGAACCTTGGACACAGAAGCGGCAACCAGCTGCTTCTGAATCCTGCTGCGCATAGAACGACAAGAAGTACAACAGTGTACAGGGACAGCCACACTGCATTCGGCAAGCAAAGACACGTCTTCGACTGCTAAACTCGCCTGCACCCAGCCGAATTAATTGCGTTCCCCATCCTTGCAAGAACTGGAGCTTTGCCATGTTGAACTTGGCTTTTGGGATCTTGGGTAACTTCCTTAGCACAACAGTGTGGAGCTGCATGAACACCACGTGCCAGATTGCACGTGCTTACGTCACCTTCAGGCCAAGCTCTTGAACTTCTTGTTTCCCAGCCCGCCGCCAGTCCCAGCTCGGCTCATTGCAGAATTCGAAGTTCCTGCGCGATGTATGCGATGTGAAGCCAAGGAAATCAATTACTCTTGGAGGCCGCACATTCTGCATATATGCAGGAAAACGTGTCACGAACTGTGCAGAGCGGCAGCAGCGAAAACTGGCATTGGGGCAACGGAGAACAGGTGGAACGCGTGCAGAGTTGTCGGAGCTGTCGCTGTTCTTAGTGTGACTTATTTAAACAGGTTTGCTGGTGCCCGGCGCATCAGTCATCACCTGGAGACGTACGGCAACCTCCTGATCGATTTCAGTTCTGTATCGGATTTAACGCGTGCGGAGTTGCCGACTTGCTTCGGGGCACCGACCGGGAAAAGACAGACGAACAGTTTCAATCGCGACTTGAAGACTTGAACGCATGAACCAGGTGGCCTGCCGCGGCTATGCAACTTTTCGGCGCTGCATCCAGACCCCAGGTTCGCGTGTGTAGTGCTGATGGTTTGAGCACGCATGGTTGTGTCACGGAATCTCCAGGCAAATCCTTGCATTCAAACGCCATGCCTCGCTGACTCAAGTCTCAAGTCAGCGCATGGCGCATGATGCAGTAGTTTGCAGCGTCGCTTCACCGAAAACATCTGGCGCTCCCCAAAATCATAACTTGACTTGGCACAGCATCTACATTTCGAGCAGACTGTCTAGTGACGAAGATCAACGCAACAAAGGAAGATCCTCAGTGTGCAACCGCGTTTCCTCTGTCGAGTTAAACAAGTTGCAACGACACGCAACTTGTGTGAGCGGCGGCATGGTGCTTATGCTGCCGTCCTAGGAGGCTTTGGGCCATCGAGTCGCGCGCCACTTCCACGGCCCCATTGCCCTCAAACTCTGTGTCCATTGGCAAAACCTGAGAGCATCTCGACTCAGCCGCATGCTGACACTCAATCTGTGGATTTGGCTTCCGCACAGGGGCTGGGGAGTAGTCGATATTACCATCTCCTCCCGGAGGGAGCTGAAGTGGATGCGATACATCAGCAGTGGTACCTCAGCGGCCGTGCACGCCCCAGGACTGTTGAGCCCGCCCACTGCAAAAACATCTTGCGATTCAGAGCCTTGAGAATCGTGTCGTGCTTGCATCTACATGCTGGTGCTGTCAAAGGAGCAGAGGGGCTGCTGGATGTGAGAAATCATGCACCAATGGCCAGCAAGACGGTCAAACTTTATCGTCATGGCCTGAGCTGGACATGGCTGTGAGGACATTTGAAGAACTCCAGCCCCAACATTGACGCAGAAGCAGATCGTGACGCGAACAGCTGAGGGCATTGATTTAAGCGCAACGAAGAGGAACACCACTTCCAGAGCCCCTGCTGTGTCCCATTCCAGCCACGGTACTGCCGACTCCGGCACCTTGCTGTAGCAGTCGGCACGAGCATCGGAGGCCACCTGCACACAACGTCTTTCGAACTATCCGGGAGTGCTGCTTGCAAGCCCAGTCGCATTGTGTGATGTGTCCTTGCGGAAGCCACAGATCCCATCAATCCTGCTCATGTTCGAACATTGACAGAATGCCGACCTAACACTCGTGTTCAGTGATGAGCGTAACTCAGTGCCGCGGTCCAAATGAAGCCATCGCAGCTCGGTTCCGCAGCGCAGACTGGGCCGCACGTGCTCAGGGCGCCCGCCCTTGCAACATATAGTATAGAATTGTTCAAGGAAGTGGCTCCTCGCTGTCAGAACTGACCCACCTTGTGCTGGGCATGTAAGCCCCGCCATCCACAATTTTGGCTAGCTTGTCCTTGTGGTAGCCACATGACACATCATCTCCTTGCTGAGCTGGACACTTCATGCCATTTCCACGGGAAGTTGTATACTCACTGACTTGATGCATTCGAGCACGGCTGAACCGCGACTCGGTGCGAAGCTCTTCAGGTTCAGAAGGTTGAACCCCAAAGTCAAACACTAACTCACTTGCCATGCCAAAACATCATCAGAATTGCAAACCTGGAGTGCTTGCAATCTCGTGCAGGCAGGGGTCTCTTGGAGAAATAAGGGGACGAGGCCTTTCCTCGCATAAGAGTGGCCCGACCTTCGCTACGTCCTGCTGGACAATATGTGCCTCGGGATGCAAAACAGGACTTTAGTTCTCGTTAATGCCACATAGATTCATTCAATGGCCTTCCCACGCGTCGCCTGCATCCAATGGCCCCGTCTTGACACTGACCGGCGGTGCCATTGGAAGCATGCAGCAGACAAAGGTGTACCTGAGGACGAGGATTAGGCGGTGGAAGAAATGAAACAAAAGAAAAACATAAACAGGCTTGGGAAGGCTTACAGGGCTTCTGGGATGCGGACCCGGAACCTGACCTCTCCTTGGAGAGTTGCACCTTGAGCAACCTCCGGAACTTTGGACTCAAGGAGGAAGCGCTGCAAACCGCTGTCCTCACATAGGGTGCTTGCCGTGAACCAGGAACTCAAACAGACGGTAGTCTCAGTACCTACTAACTTCAGTGTCAAGGGTCTCGAGGGCACTGAGGTCGGTGGTGTGCCAAGGCTGCCAGGTCGCTCTTCTGGCCAACCTGAGACAACGAACTGCACGGCAACTCCTTTGGGGATTTCCTGGAGCTTGGCACCCGCGCCCGCCCTTCCGACAAGGAGGCGTGGCGGGCCATAAGGCGGCATTCGTGGCATCGTGGTGCGAAAGAAGTAGAGAGAGAGAGAGGCGTCTTTTGTGTTTGGGAGCTTCTTGAAAGTGGCAGAGATGGAGCAGATAGGAAGGGGAGAAGGAGTCGAGAAAGCAGGACTGAGCAAGCAAACCATCCAAAAAGTGCATGCTGGGCATTCGCAACAGAGGAAGACCCCGAAGCAGGCGAGTGGATCAAAGGCGTAAGCGCATGGCCTCTCCCCATTCCGTTGTTTCTTCGGAGCATTCACCCAAACCTCAGCATTGCAACAGGCACTTTGCAAACATGTGCAAGGAAACCTCTTCAAAGGTTCAGCCGATCATAAACACAGTACAGACTGGGTCCAGCACCTTGAACCGGACAGCATGTGTATGCATATTGATAGCCAGCACCTGGGAAAAAATGAACGCAATGTGATGGTAGTGGAAGGCTCATGCTCATGCTACTAATCGCTCCACCCCGAAACTGAATTCGGATTGCGCTGCAGAAGGTACGTGCACACCACAAGTGCTAATTATGCGAATCGAGACACCATCGTCCCCATTGCAGCTCTTGTACTCGAACTTCGTCAACAACGTTCCAGCTTCGCACTGCGATCCCACGTCGTGCCTTGTACAGTCCACGCACACGCTCAAAATGCGCGCATGATAACCTTTCAAGGGAGGGGTCACTACCTGTGGAGTTCATGATGCAAAACGAATATGCCTGTCCTGTCCAGCTCCCACAAGTGTGGATGGCTGCCACTGTGGGCAACGCAGCGTGTCGTCTTCCTGGGAGCTTGGGCCGAGTCCAACGAAGTACGACACACTGAAGCATGTACTTAGTAACTGAGTGCTACTATTACAGTGTGCCGGGAATCTACTAGTAGAACAATTATTTGAGCAAGATTGCCAAGCAATCTTTCAATCTTGCCCCATTTGTCCCCACTTGGGGAGGGGGGGAAGACTGCACGCAAGCTTGGTCAATCTTGGTCTGAAGAGGCAAACTAGTCGGCGAACAAGTGGGGCAAGTGGGGTAAGATGACCAAAACAGGATTGCTGCAATCTTGCTGTTGACCAAGATGGCCAAGATTGCCAAGACGGTTCCACAAAATAATTGTAAATTCCCAGCACAATGTACTATTACAAACAAGCTCACCAAGCCTTTACTATCAGCGTGGTGACGACATGGTGGCAAATGCACCTTGAAGATAAGGCGCGGGGTGCACATCGAAGCACCCTTCACCGGAACGATGGTTGTGCAACTGTAGAAGTAGCCTGGGGCGGGGGAGAGGGGGGAAGAGACGAAAGGAAAAGGTTGCAAGGGTATCCGGTCAGTTTTGGAAATCGGCATGGATTCCGCTGCCGTCAAAATGTCAAGCTTCGAATACTGGAAGTCTGTTCAATGCCAAGGATCGGAAATAGTCAGCACCGTTGCAAGAGCTATCTTGTCGGAAGGAGAAGGAGCTCAGCACCTATCAAGACGGGCAGGCGGAAACGGTTGCCCTCATTCTACGCGGCTTACTCTCGATCACGATGTCATCCGCAGTGGTGACCTATTTGTTCAGACTGGCTGTTCATTGTCACTCACACAAACAACCTGACAAGCATTTTCGTAACACTGGGCTATACTTCAGTTGGTATCGAGATATCGACAGCTGGGGTGCGGCCCGCAGGGGTGCCTGCCCAGCTGCGCAGGACACGAGTGGCTGGTTGACTTTGAGGTTCGGCAGATACCTCTGACACAAGGTGGTGCAATCTGACATGAACCCAAAGGCAGCCTGTCCCATTGCCGGCCTGTCTTGAGCTCGCACACAGGCCCCAGGCTGCCTTTGAAGTCTCATCAAGCACCGAACAATGTCGACAGACGCCTGACGAGCCGAGCGGCAGGTTCTGTCCGGAGGCCATGTGGGTCCATCGCGCCGTCAGGGGAGCCAGGTAATCCAAAGAGAAAACCTGCTTCGTGTGCGCTTCCTTAGACTCGGTAAGCCAAGCAGCGAAGCAGACTAGCACTTTGCATCTGTCAGCATCAAATCGTGGCACACACAGCTGGCGCCGGGTGGGCTTTAGGCTGGGGACCTGTTGGTCAGCTGGCCCAGAATAGGCACAAGCAGATGCACAAGCTTGCTCGGATCTCTGTCGGGGGAACAAAGAGTGAACCCTACGTGCATGCTTCTATGCTGAGCGAGGTGTCGACATCTGTCTCCAGCGCACAGTCCTCCATTTTGCCGGTCATCGGGTCCACACATGCGGCTGTTTGTCGCTCTCGGTAGACAAGCTGGACGTTTCCCGGCGCCTGCCTTAGGTGCGATGAGGCGCGAGGATCCATTTGAGACTTCGAGTGGTCCGAGATGGTCTGAGCATTCCGAGCCACCTGGAGGCCTCCAGGCTCCAGGCCTTGCTGAAGGCCGCGCCACAAGAGGACCAAAAGACAGAGTCCTGCTTGGAGATGCTGATCCTGACGGAGTTCTAGGCCACCCAGGCTGCGAAAGAGATGTCGGGGAAAACACACACATGCACAAGGGCGTAAAGTATATGCACATAAGTACATACAGACGTATACACATACCTTATGTATGTATGTATATATATATATATAGATCTATCTATCTATTTATATTTATATATTTATATATGAATTTATTTTATATTTCTATATTTCTATCTTTCTATCTTTCTATATTTATCTATTTATCTATTTACATACATATATGCATCCATACATACATCCATACATACACACATACATGCATAACTGCATAACATACATAACGTACATAACATACATAACCTACATAACACACAAAACATACATAACATACATAACCCACATAACATACATACATACATACATACATACATACGTACATACATAGTTTGTATTGGAGTATGGGAATAGAACGGTGACCGGTACTTCTGGGGATATAAGGGCGCGCCCCGAGACGGATAGACGAAAAAGGGACAGAGAGATTGATAGAATAGATACTTAGCTTCTGTGTATGTATATATATATATATGTTACAAATTACTAAACAAGTATATGAGAGTACAAGCATATGTGCGCCCTTTGATATACTTTCCTGGCAACTAAGCTGCTTGTTGATTCCAGAGCAACCTGCCGAAAGCTCCCCCGAGAAGGCGAGCTTCCCTTTGCCTGCGGCATTCTCGGGTGGATAGGACTCATGACGAGCCAGAAATATCGATAGACTCAATGCCGTGCGCTTATCGATGTCACGGCACCGCCGCTCCCGTAGATGATTACCGGCTTCGTCACGGTCGCGAACGCATTTTGCGCAATGGTACCGTCTGGGTGGGATGCATCCTTCATTCGTCCCTCTGTCCCGATCCTTGACTGGGCGCAGGGATGTTGAGGGCAGGCAACGGCAAGCGCAAGGTTCCCGAACCTGTGCGTAAAAGTGGCGTACATGTTGAAGTGTCCACTGCTCGTCGACTGTCTCCGTATGTAATTGTCACCTGATACGGTGTTCCTTGGCAGCTGCTTCGTGTGCACAGGGTCGGTAGGAAAGTGGTCTGCTTCAAGGGTAAGCACAAATTTCAATTCTCTCGCCACAACAGAAATTTTCAACGTGTTGGCAATGCAGCCAAGAGCTCCGGCATCGGTTGCCGGCATCTCGATCTCCCATCGCGATCCTGAACAAACCTGGGCTCTGGGCTTCTGAGGGCTTTCGGGGGAGAAAGAGTCTTGTGGAAGCTCTGGCAAGGTGCGTTACTCGGGTCAATCATCAAGCTCTGCTTTCCCATATCAGATTCGGAATCTGTGATGCTGACATCCTCGAAGAACAATCTGGCCTCGGCTATCTGACAACAGACCATGCCTACATCAACTGATCCCGACTCTTCCTGAGGTGCTGTTCACTCTGCATGAAACCAACTGAAGCAAGAACGATTCAACCTGTTTTAAGAAGGCTTCCGAGGCCCAGGCATTTCGACGTAACCGCTCTTCAAACCGCAGGCGCACATTACCTGACTGCGGTGCCGTCAACTGCAATGTCTTGGTGGTGAAGTCGTGCCGAAAATCCTGCAAGAACAGCAACTATCGGTGATTCTTGCATCTGGAGTGATGGAACAGCATGGAAATCGAAACTGATTGAAGCGCATAGAAAAAGAAACACTGTGTAGCATACCTTTCTTGGACTCTAGCATGACAGGAAGGGGCTTCGCAGCTTTCGCCACGACGACAGGGGTCTGGGCATCTACTCAACCTATCGCAGACATGCAGGAATGAAGTCGCAACTGGCTGACTCGATGATCGAACGCTATCCAGCGAGTCACAGTGCCCTGTCCTGAAGTTCTGCAGATTCCGTCCCTAAGGACCTGAGCTTCCGAAATGCCCCTTTGGCAATTCCAGATGCGCAACGAAGCCTGAAACGTCGTCTGAATGAGCCAAGCCACACTTTGAGCTTGGCTTCACCTTGCGCGCAGATGCGCGAGACCGTTTGCAGGACTCTGCGACGCCGCCGGCGTCTTCGGCCAAAATCCACGGTGCAGCTGCTGGGACCAGCCACACCGTTGGAGTTCGAACACACGCCACCTCGAAGCAAAGCCACAACCACAAACCACACACATGCAGCATTGCAGAAGTAGGCCGCCTTAGGGGACTTCAGCCAAGCAGCTATCGGACATGCAGAGGCATCGAATGCTTTGGTGTGTTGCTGGACACGCCGGAGCAGATCTGGAGTCTGGCCCTGATGAAGTTGTGATCACCAGGCTCTTGTGGCTGGTCGAACACGTCGCGCGTGCCCGCGTCATGGCTGACAGACACAGAGCGCGAACTTTGCAACGCCCGACTCCGTTGCATTCCACCATGCATCCGGAGGAGTCACAATGCCTGCAGCATGCCCTTCCCATCGCTCTCCACATGCCCTATTTCTCTCCCCTCCAAATACACCAAACATGAAAGGAACTGCTGCCCTAGCCGGAGAGGCACCACTTTCGCACAGCGTCGTATAGTTCGGTGGAGTCCAAGTTTCTGATACCAATAGGATTGAAGCCACTCGGACAGGTCGACTTGGCGGTGTACCCTGAACCGAGGTTCTTGTCGATCAAGTTTCCCGCCGCCACTTCAGCATGTTGGATGCATGCTGCCTTGATGGTAATCCTCTGGCCCCTGCTCATGGCCCTGCACCCTGTACTGGAGCAGTCAATTTGATGCACGCCTTGCTTGTACGCTTGGCAACGCAACTTCAGCTGCCAAACTCAAACAGCATTGTGCGACAGCTTCTTGCAGAGAAAGTGGCTGCCACCCGGGCTTCTTCCGCCTCTGATGTCTCCAAGGATTTCCATGTATCGCAGCCCCGCGGCCTTCATGTGCATCGCAAGGACAGCAGCCCGAGTTTGAGTTGTCACATGGGTGCACCAGACATTTCAGGACTGTTGATAGCGGCACACAACACTGCGCCTTGTGGCCCGATGGGCATTCCTGAGGCAAGTACTTGGACGTACAGAAAGAAGCCGCTTGCTGATGGAGCAAGGACAAGCCAAAAGAAAGTTACATTGCGTAGTGCAGCTCTGCATCAGACCATGCCGTCCACTGGTTGGCACCACTTGACGTTCTTGATGGCCCATTTGTCACTTGAGAAGATGGAGCTTGAATACAGTTGGGTCTGATCTGGCACTTGTCGTTTGCGCCTTAGGGTCGGCGCGCATCTTCCACGCATGCTTCAGGTTACAGCGATGTACCGGGTTTTCGCTGCGCGGCTGTCTTTTGCTTCCTAGATGAGGAGAACAAATCCACCCACACGCGCACACAGCACAGACACAGACACACACACACACACACAATCACAATGAAACAAACAAACAAACGAACAAACAGACAAACAGACAGACAGACAGACAGACAGACAGAAAGACAGACAGACGGACAAACAAACACACTACCACACGCACACGCACACGCACACACACACACACACACACACACGCACGCACGTACACACAAACACAAACACAAACACAACAAACATACACATGAACAAACACACAGACAGACACACACACACA